AAAGTTATCTGCAAAAAATATTGATATTGGAATTTATATAACAATTACACGGCCAATTTATCAACCTAAACAAAAAATTACTCAATTAATAGTTTCGATTCTCACAACCCGAAGACCTGTTTGCAACCGGTTATTCATAAGGTCTACACTTGCTTTTATTTAACAAATTGTAAAACTCAATATGACCATATTTAGAAGCGAATTTGAATCAAAAACGTAACCATTTTCAAGTAATAATCATCTAATAATATTACGCCTGTTGGTTACATTTTTGATTCAAAATAGCACGGACACCGAGTAATTTTATTATATTTAGGATACAATTGTTATATTATAAGCTGTGGCTTGTGTATCTGTACTTTGGGGGCCACCCTGGTCGACTCGCAATTTTAATAGCTTTTAAAAGTTTAAATTTTGAAGTTTTTTTATAATTATTTTTTTTTTATATGCAACTCTTAAGTGCATTACAATATCTGACTCTTCCTCAATTGTAATCAACTAGCCAGAGAGTATTAATATTGTTTTTTTTAGTCTTATTTTTTATCCCTATATATTATTATCAAAGCTACAGATTTTTTATCTATTAGTAAGATTGGCTTATCCAGTTACCTATTTATAGATATTAGCATTATAATAGTTCTATTGAAAGCTTAAATAGTTTGAAAAATATAAATAGCTATTTCTTATTAGAATTAAGAGATTAGTTATTTAAGAAATAATAAAGATATTATAAATTTACTACACAATTAATTTTGAAAGTGGTTTAACATTCAGCTAATCTGATAAATAGTATTTTTTTGAATAACAAAGTTTTCTTTATAGCTCTAAAATAAAGAAGCATAAATAAGAAAGTTGTAAATTGATTCAGATGAGCCATATTTTTATACTTTTTCAATTTTAAAAAGTTTAACTTTTGCACAAGGATCAACTTTAATTTATTACATTGTTTTGTTACATATAAATTTATACTATTGCTAAAATTGGTTTTACTACTAAGCGATTATATCAAAATGCTAAAATTTAGGCTAGTATTTTTGCAAAGTTCTTCTAAGCTTTTCATTTTTAAAAACTAAAATTATCACGATGAAAATCAATCTTCGCTAATGTTATTTCTTTCTCAAACCTAAAGAATAGTAAAATAAAATAAGAATTTTTACAAATATCAATTTGAATATACCTACATTTTTGTATTCAAAAATTAAAAATATTTTGATATTTTTTCACATAATCGCGTAAGATTTGTCGATCACCAACTGTAATTACTTCGCATTGCTTGAATTCTTTATTAGGTAAATTTTTTAAATAATTTATTGAAACCTTTTGCTTTTCAAACTTATCCAAAAATTTCTGATAATAGTCATTTGTTCCTTTTTTTTTGTCTATTTCTTTTAAAAACTTAGCCATGGTTGGTAACTTAATTGAGCAAGATTGATTTTCTTGATGTTGTAAAGAAATAGGCTGTGATTGTGCTTGGTATGGCTTTGAAAATAGATGAAAAACTAAGGGCCCAAAAGGTCCAAAAGCCCAATTATTTTGTAGTAATACTTGCAATAACGATGCTAATAGTATTTGTGATAGTGGTAATAATGCCAATGGTGCTTGTGATAGTAATGAAGCTAATGATGCTTGAGGTGGTAATGAAGCTAATAGTGTCTGTGGTGGTGGTAACATTGCTTGTAATGATTGTAACATTGCCAATATGATAATGTTGCTGGTGATGGTAGTAATATTGCTGGTGATGGTGGTAATATTGCTGGTAATGATGGTAATATTGCTAGTGATGGTGGTAATGTTGCTGATGATAGTGATAATATAGCTGGTAATGATTTTGAAGACGAATATGATCTTCTGGATGTATTGACATAAGAAAAAAGAGGGTGTGTCAGAGGATTTTTAACCATGCATAGCCCTTTGTTCTAAATATAATTTATAAATATTTAAATTTTATAAAATATAATCTGATTTATTATGTATAAAATAAAATTTACTATATCTGATGCCCAAATTGAAAGCATCATAAAGATAATTTCTACGTGTAAGTCTTTGTTACTTTCTTTATACAAGCAAGGTCGATTGTGTATATTACAATGATGCTTATTTCAAATTTCTAGCACATTCTTAACAATTGCTTTATCATGTGAAGATAAAGACAAAATATGCAGAATTTTATTGCTATTTTTATGATTAGTTGAAAGCTCATTGTTTTCTAAATTTGGTTTCTAAACAATTACTCTTATGGTAAATTATTAAATTGATCAATTAATAATAATATTGATATATGTATGTAATATGTATGAATTAGATTTTATTACCTTCTTTTTTGTTTAGGTTGATAAATTGGCCGTGTAATTGTTATATAAATTCCAATATCAATATTTTTTGCAGATAACTTT